CTCACACTTTCCTTGGATCATCAAATAAAAACGCGTTTTATTGTGCATTTTGATGTCCCCCTCCCTTCCCTTTGCGCACCTTCCGTACGGTCTCTTTTCTTTTCCTTCTCCGGACGAAACAGATCGAATTCTTTTTCTTCGTTTCTCTCTCTCACTCTCTCTCTCACGGGCCCACACTATCCCTCCTCCTCCTCCCAAGGACAAAACAATCCACCCCCCGGGAGACCCTTCAGCAGAGGAAATGCGCACGCGCATGTTTTCTCGAGAACCTCTACAAAACACGATGATTTCAATCGTCTGGACACGGTATGGAATTGGAGAATAAAATTGGGATTCAATAGGGGAGGGGACGAGTATTTAAGTGTCCCCTATTTTTTTTTGGGTTATGAGATGACAACCTTCTCTCGGAGAATTGTACCCCGTGAAAAACAAGTTGCCTCCTCTTGTTTCGGAAGGAACGGGTCAAGTTTTTTTTTTCCGACTAATTAGATTATGATGATGGCTTCTTTTTTGATGAAACTGGTAATTAAGATACGATTCTTGAAGAATCTAGAAGTTTTTTTAAAAATTAGAGGGAAACATTTGTTTTTGGAAGTTCGAGAAACATCATTTTCTATTCGAGTGGTTGAAGCTTTTGGAAAATTGTCAAAAGTTTGGGGGGGATACCGTAAACACTCTAATAGAACGCCAGCCCTAAATTTTAACTTTTGGCTCAATAATCTCGATTCCCATGCAAGATATCAAATATGTGTCGACTGATAAAATTTTGCTGATATTATCATGAACAATTTGCCAGTTGATAGATTTTTGATACCTTTTGTAGGAACCGATATAATTGAGCTCAAAATGCATCGGGTGCGCTTGGTCAAAAAAATTATTTGAGAGATACCGTAAAACCTGTCTGTCAAGTTTGAGCTCAATTATCTCGTTTTCTGTGAGAGATATCAAAATTTTGTCAAGTGACAAAACATTTTTGATATTAAGATAAACAGTTCATCCGTTGACAACTTTTTGATATCTCTCATAGGAATCGAGATAAATTTCCGCAAAGTTTATAAGTTTGGTAGTCCTTTCATTACGGGAAACTCGAAAATTTTCTGAATATTTCTTATGTAAAAAGTAATTGGAAATTCAAGTTCTTGTCTTCAAAATGTTCTAGTTTTTGGAATACATGATTAGAAAGGTTCTTGGCTTTTGGATACTAAAAAGTTAGAGATTTTCGATTTTTGAATTCTAAGAACTTTTTTTTAAATTCCCTATACTCTACCTAGTATATTCATGATTCTGTTCATCTAACCTTCTGATTCTCTAATCTCTCTTTTCCCTCTTTTTTGGAATACCATCATCATTCTCTAATTGTTCCTACTACCCACTTTCCCCTCTCCATTTTCCATTCTCATCTCTTTTTTTTCACTGATTCACACTTCATTTTCCCATCTTTTTCTGGATGATTCCATTCGAATTCAAAATAACTCTCTCCACAATTTTTTTCTCATTTCTTTTTTCAATGTGGGTTGGGACTAGACTCACAGAAAATAATCCGACGCGTCAATATACGGGTTGAAAAAAAAACGATTGCAAAATTTCGGAAAAGACGGACAGTGAGATTGAGGAAGAAAAGAACAAAAAGATTTAGATTTTGAACCAAACTGACCAGACCAATTTCTGTCTGTGAATCTGTTTGTCCGGATTTATTTTCTCTAGATTTTTCCAGCCTCCATTTATTAAGGAATTTCTAAAGTTCGAATGATTAGAAACTGACTATAAAAGAGAACCATTCCAAAGCTGTCGGCCGTCGGTCGGTCGGTCGGTTAGAACAAGGACAAAAAATGCTAAAAAATTAGCGTCTATTTTTTTGTAAAACTTTATCGAAAAAAATTGGGTCAAGGGTTCGAACTGGGTGGTCAAAAAGTCATAGGACAAAAAATTTGTAGTACAAGGTTTTGGGCAAT